AGAATGGCACAGAAGAGTATATAGAAACAGAGACTCTTGAACATAAAATTGCATCGCTTTTTCTGTGCATGCAAAGTGTATTGCATGTTTCTAAAAGTGCGTTACAGAAGATTGTTGACGAACTTAATGATATTCTGCACTTCTCTAAATATCAGTCCTTTCAAACAACAAATAGGTATATACCGTAATTTTCGGACTATAAGGCGCACCTGAATATAAGCCGCAGCAGCTAAATTGAATACATACTGTATATAAGCCGCACTGGACTATAAGCCGCAGGTGTTTTAATGTTTAATTACCATATGTAAGGGTTCGTGCACAGAGGGGATTGTCGGGAAAGAGATGGCTGTTTGAGGAAGCTCCCATTTATTAACATTTCAACAAACCAGTTGCATATTTGCATAACGTATTCAAGTGTTACCATTTAGTGCAATAGTAGCTACAGAACAGAACATGTGCTGTGTAAACTGTACTGTATCACATAGCGTTTCAGACACACAAACTTTTCAACTTTCAAACTTAAACGGTGCGCTCCCAGCGCACGTACCGGCAGTGATCTACAGCAGTGGTTTTCAACCAGTGGTACGGGGACAAACTGTCTCGCTCTCGTAATGTCTGTCTGTCTTGCTCTCGTTCTGTCTCTCGTACCACTCTCGGTTCCACTTTTACTTTTGCGCGCTACCTGTCTCACTCTTTTCCGGCCTCCAGCTTTTCCTGCTGGAACCCGCCGCTTAAAGTTGGGGGGCACGGACCGGCCATAGAGCCCATAGAGTTAAAGGTGGTGGCCGTTAGCTGTAAAAATCCATAGATTAGCCGCACCGTTATATAAGCCGCAGCGTCGAAAAATGGGAAAAAAGGCGCGGCTTATAGTCCGAAAATTACGGTAGTCTCATTATTTCTCCCTCTGCCTTTCTTTATCTTTACATGACATGTCACTTGTTAGACGCTTTTATCCAAAGCGACTTACATACTCAATACTGTGGACAATCCCCACAGGAGCAATTTGGGGTGAAGTGTCTTACCCAGGGACACAACGACATGCTGACTGCATTGGGGTTTGAACCTGTGGCCCCCTGATCCGAACACCAACGCACTGCTCTAATGCGCCACACGCCTCCCCACACCATGTTCCTATACTCACTGCTTTCTCTTTCCCTGTTCCTCCCTTAGGTGGAGGTGATGAGAAGTAACGCTGCTGGTCGTATCGACGCCTACAGGGCGGATCTGGAGCGCTTTAAGGCCCGCTGGGACCAGCTGAAGCCTAAAGACGAGATTCTTGAGAGTGGTGATCACGATGCCCTTCTTGCCTGCCTGCAGACCATCAGGGACAAGCAGCAAGAGTTCCAGGAGCTAGAGCTTGTGCGCAGTAAACTGCTGTAAGTTACTTTGAATATGCCGAGTTTCGAGTGGTTTCTTTATTGCGTTGGGACGGCTGATAGGATGTTCATTGCCTGGATAATCATTTTACAATACGCTGTGGTTGGATCAAATGTGATTATGATGTGTGCCATAAATCTGCCTAATAATTCATTTGGTGCTCAACATGAAACAGCATCGCAATTGAATCTGTAATGTCTTTAGTTGTTCTTGTTTCTATTATCTTTATAGATAGATGTTTCTATTGAAGCTACTTGTATTGATTCACACTGACTTAAAAACACTTGAAATACTATATTATTCATCGCCTCCTCACAATTACACTACAGCCCCGGACTAGAGCTTCTGTAAAACCTTGTGTTTTCCCTAAATCTACAGTTTTAGTGCTTTCTGTCAGCTTTTAATACATTTAAGAACATTACAAGTGTGCATCTATCTCCTCTCCTCTCCTCTCCTCTCCTCTCCTCTCCTCTCCTCTCCTCTCCTCAGTGAGGACTGTACCTCTTTTGACCTGGGGACTCCAGACTTCTCTCTGGCAGAAGAAACAAAAAGAGACATGGAGGAGTATAGCCAGATGTGGGGTCTGTATGAGGAGTGGCAGCAAGGCTTTACAGAAAAGGCCCAGGAGGACTGGATCACATTCAGGTGGGGGGTCGAGTTTAATCCTGCTGTAGATTAATCTAAATCTTCTGAACTCACTTACCTGTGTCGGTTGTGTCTTAATATCTATGTTTCTGTTGTTTTTCAGGAGTAAGACGTATGTGTTTGAGGAATTTCTCTTTACGTGGCAGGACAGACTTAGGAAGCTGGAACAGCCTACTGCCATGTCTGTTAAACTGCAAGGAGAAGTGGACAAATACAAGGTAGACAGGAGGGCAGTCGGTGGAATAACATATTATAATCTTCTTTCCACTTTGTGTACATTTAGTTTAGAAGAACAATAATACACATCTCAAGCAAAACCCTTGGTGTGGTGTGTATTACACTCTATAATGAGTTTTAGGCAATAAACGGAATAATCCGCTCATACAGAAGTGTTATAATGTTGTAATAGGACACAAATCTCTAAATTCAAAAGAGTTTCTTTTTTGGAAAGAATAAATCATTTTTTATTTTAGAAAATGCCAATCAGACTTATGCAATATATATTGTGCAAGCAGAACAATCATTATTTTCTGAATACATAAATGTTATCACTGTATCAAACTAAAAGATGAATGGTGAATGTTAAATTATATTTGAAGCAATATTTTATTTGATCCTCTTACACATCATTGGATAGTTTATAGTATTTTTGTTATACTTCTATTTCCACTATTTTCCGCCTGCGTGTCTAGAACATGGTCCCGGTGTTGAAGTATGTGCGCGGGGAGCACCTGTCCCAGGACCATTGGTTGGACATGTTCCGTTTGATTGGCCTTCCCAGAGGGACAACGCTGGAGAGACTCGTCTTTAATGACCTCCTCAATGTGGCAAATACCATTGTTGAAAAGGCCTTGGAGCTTAAGGTATGCACACACACACACACGCACGCACGCACGCACACACACACACACACACACTCAAGCAAATGTATATACATAACGATGGAGGCATGCACGTCTCTACGGACACATACGTCCCTTTAAATTGTTCATACTTTTTTTGATCTATTTTAGGGATATCATTATCAAGTTGCTTTTTTACCCCTGATGCCAGTCATTTGATATTGAGAATGTGCCCGATGCAATACATCCCTTCAATTAAATTAAAATAAGGTTATTCAAACCAATCCAATATATATACTTTATACATTAATAGTTTTGAAATGCATGAACAAAAAAGAACAAATGCATCATATAAGAATTTTCACTTATAATATTTGTACAGGAAGTGGTTATGACCAAACAGGTTTACAGACACATTCAGTAGATCATTAAGAGTTTGGTATGCACATGAAATATTAGCATTTTCTTTGTTCTTTAACACATCCTTATTTAAAGAAAGAAATCTTGCTATTGTGTTTGTGTAAACATATCATTTAGTTAATATGAAAACACTGATATCTTGGATTTACCGTAATTTCCGGACTATAAGGCGCACCTGAATATAAGCCGCAGCAGCTAAATTGAATGATGTGTACATATATAAGCCGCACTGGACTATAAGCCGCAGGTGTTTTAATGTTTAATTACCATATGTAAGGGTTCGTGCACAGAGGTCATTGTCGGGAAAGAGATGGCTGTTTGAGGAAGCTCCCATTTATTAACATTTCAACAAAGCAGTTGCATATTTGCATAACGTA